ACCCACCCACACACGAGCGTATGCATAAACATACACGCACAACCACAACTTGACAGCTCTGAAGTCCTCACCTCGTATCTGAAGTCCTCCGGCAGCAGCGTGTCGGCTGGGGCACACGTGGCCAGCGTGGTCTGCTTCAGCGTGCCCGCCGCCAACGCGCCCGCAGGAATGGGCGGTGGCGCCTCAAAGTTGATGAAGGTGTCGGCCGCCCTGCAGGGAAGACGCATTGGGGTTTGATGAGACCAGGAGACACGCTAATCACCTGGCTGAGTGCATTTCCAGAAAAACCAGTGCAAGCCCAGGACAAACGGCTAACCACTGCACAGAGAGCAGCGTCGCGTCTCCGCGCTGGGCAGTAGTTGAGCAACATCCCCGCAAAGGTGCACCAGCACGCGAGGCGCACCTCTTGCCGCGTTTGCCCTTTGCGCCGCCGTCGGCCGCTTTGCGCGCGGCAACGCCCCCCGCCTGCGCCGCGCCCGGCGCGCGCTGGAACCGCCAGTAGCTGCTGCCCGCCCAGCCCGCGCCGCGCATGACGCCGCTGCCGCCGCCGCGCTCCGCACCCAGCAGCCACTGCAGCGAGTCCTCCCCCATGACAGCCCCCAGCCCGGCCAACGCGTGCTCCTCTGCCGCGCCCGCGCCCGCGCCCGCGCCCTCTGGCCCCTCGCTCCTGCCGACCTCGCCGTCGCTATCCCCGTCGTCGCCGCCGCCGCCCCACGCGTCGCCGCCACCGTCGTCGTACGCGCCGCCGTCGTCGTCGCACTGCGTGTACTGCTCGGCCAGGCGCGCCCCCTCCTCCGCCTCTGCGCGTTCCGCCGCGCGCCGCGCCGCGCCCTCCACAGCATCCGCGGCATCCATGCTGTCAGCATCCTCCGCCTCCCTGGCATCCCCGTTCCAGCCGGCCGCCCCGACAGCGCCTTGGTCGGCCATGTCAGCGTCGCCACTGCCTGGACCTGCCGCTGAGTCAGCCATGCAGTCGTCCTCTGCGCCGTCGCCGGTGGCGGCGCAAGGAGTTGTCCGCGCGCCCTCCGCGCCGCTCGCGCCGGGGCGTGCTCCAGCCGAGGCACCGCGGGCGAGGGCCGCAGCGCGCGGCCGGCAGGCTGCAGCGAAGCGCGCACAGTCGCCTGCGAATTGGCACAGCAGCAGGAGCTTCAGCAGCATCAGCAGCAGGTGGTGCATTAAGTGGGTAATTAATCGGGGCGGCGCCTGCGCATGGCTGAAACATAAGTCGTTGCGCTGTGGTGCCGCCTTGCGGGGCCTGAGATCGGCCCCAGGACCTGGCCAACCCCAGCCATTCCCTTGCTGCCCTCATGTTGCCGCCACCCACCCTCAACGGCCGCCATGATGGCTGCGACATCCGCCTCCACCTCCGCCTCGTCAGCTTGCGGCTCCAGCCCTTGACCAGCCAGCAGCGCGTGCAGACCGCGCATGGCCGGCGCGATGGCGGCGCAGGAGCCTGGGGGCGGCGCGCCGCGCTGCTGCTCCTGCAGCTGCTGCAGCAGCGGCCTCAGCAGTGTCAGGTCAACCTGCTCGGCGCAGCGCCAGCCAAGCGCAATGCGTGATGCAGGCGGGAGGTAGTTGGCGCGTCAAGCTGCAGAGCGCTGGACAGCAAAGGCACCCAAGGCAGGTATGCAAGGTGCAGCGATCCACGCACAACGCTGCTAGATAGCGGGCGCACACCCTGTCATCCATTGAGTGCACGCGTTGCAGGGGTGCGCAGCCCCCTCGCGTGCAACACCCACCGCCGCCTCCTGCTCCTGCTGCGCGGCCGCCACGGGCGCCAGCGGGAAGTGGTCCTCTGGGACGCCCCCAGACTCAAACATGATGGTGCTGCCGCTGTACACGCCGCGGTTGAGCAGCAGCATGCCTAATGAGGGGGACATGGGCGGGACGAGGTGGGAGACAGTTGCGCAGAGGTTGTGTCCTATATGCACAGAGTGACGCAAGATTTTGGTGAGGGGTTGTGCCTCAATGGCTACAACTGGGGCAGCAGCAGCGCCACCAGGAGCAGCACCAGGAGCAGCACCAGCAGAAGCAGCAGCATTGCCCTCCAGGTAAACTTTCCTAATTTTCATGGCATCCTCCCTGACAAGCCATGAAGCCCACTTGAATTCCCCATCAAATGATGCAGCCTCAGCGCCCTTGATCCCATTCGTAACCCATTGCAGCAACGGCAGCTAGGCTGAAGCAGCCCCACCCACCCTGGGCGCCGTCCTCGTCGAAGATCTGGCTCATGTGGTGGCACAGCGGGTCCACGGCAAAGCTGCTGTCCTCCTGCTTCCTGCAAAGCTGCCGCGCCTCAGCTAGCGTGTCGTCCTCCCGCGGCTCGGCCCCGCCGCGGCGGCGGCGCTTGGCGTCGGCGCCCGCTGCGCCCGCGTCCTGGCTGCCCTCCGGGTCCTGGGAGTCGCCTGAAACGACAGAGTCGAGAAGTGGTGCGGGGTTGGTTGCCGGCTGATGAAGGTTGAGAGAAGCTGAAACAGCATCAGCTTGGTCACCAGCGCTGTGTCGGCGGGACTGCCGCTGCATGCCCCTGACAAGCTTGCCCCCTGCTTTGCTGATGCAAGACTCTGCGCTGCTGTGCAAGGCGGGCCCCAGCTCGCCTGGGCCCCCACGGCACAACATCCCCTCACCTTCCTTGCCGTCCACCTGCGGCGCCCCGCGCAGCGTCAGCAGCGTCTGCTTCCACGTCGCGTCCACCCGCCGCGCGTAGATCTGCACGCCCGCGTCCAGACCCCCGCTGATGCGCGAGAAGTAGTTGCCGCCCGCGCCGCCCTCCCCGGCGCCGCCCGTGGCGGGGTCGGGCGCCGCGCGCTGCACCATGTCCGGCAGGTGGTCGATCAGCGGCAGCGACCACATGTTACGGTCGTTGATCTTATTCTCTGCCGCAAGCTTGAGGGCAAGGTCCAGCATGGTGCGCAGCTCTGACTCGGACAGCCGCAGCGCCGGCCCCTCCCCGGCGCCGCCGCTCGCGGCGGGCCCGCCGAACTCGCCGGCCAGGGACTTGCGCATGCGCTCCGCCTGCCTGCAAGGGCGGCAGGCGGAGGGGGGCCGCCGGGCGCGGCCTTGGTCACGGTGCGCATGTCATGGGCTGGTGCGATGGCACAGGCGTGTGGCGGATTTGCCCTGGGATCGGTCAGAATGCTGCGGCTATTCGCCTCAACTGGCTGTGCAGCCATTGATGCTGCTCACAGTGTTTGGCTGCCGTCGGCTGCAGTCCCCACCTGTGCTTCCTGGCCTTGGCCTTCTCTGCCGCATCGTCGTTGGGCGTCAGGGCGGACTGCGCGCGGCGGCGCACGGGCGGGTGCGGTTGTGGCGAGCAGCACCGTGTGGGTGCCGCCACCGGGCAACAACAAATACGCAGAGCTGTACGCGCGGAGATGAGGCAGGCCCTGCTGCTCGCATCGCCAGCCAGGACAGGCGATGCTTGCCAGCCGCGTTTGGCCTTGCTTGCTCCAGCCTGCAGGCAGGACTTCTAAGCGCAGCGGCGCTTGCGCACACCTGCGGCGTCGACAGTGGAGTTCGCTTGCCCGGCGTGGCCTGGCTTCGCCGTCCTCGCCTGGCCGCCACGGGGGTCAGCAGCGCCTCCATACTGTTTGTTACAGTAGGAGCCCCCCTACGCTGTCCATACGGACTTTCAGATCGCCTCAGGGCTGAGGCAATAGATCTCTGCCAAGGTCTCCTCGGTGTTTGGTATCGGACAGCAAAATTGAACAGGCATCTACATATCTCCGGTGTCAGCACGGTGCGCGCTACACCGACAGCTGCCACCCTTTTTGAGCTTGCATGTATCACCTATGACGACTCACAGCCACGCTCGGCTGATGAATCCTGTGTCCATGGCCCATTCATAGCACGTGACATTTGAAATAGTTATTGATATTCATTGTATAGACCCACACAGTAAAAGTGCAGGCAGCGTGGAGCCGCGCGCTGTCCACAGGCAATGCAGGCCAACACCGCCTTAACAGCGGCGGCAGGCGTCATTGGGCAGCCATGCGCTTCTAGGCCAGGCCCATGCCGCCCGCAAGCGGGCGGTAGGCGTTTGCGGAGGGGGATGCAGATCATATGCCCCGCAAATGCGCCCCAAGAGGGCCCCGCCGTCCCTGTCACTCGGGAGGACCTAATAGAGCACATAAGTTCCGGCTGCAAGACACGGGACCGCTGGCGCATTGGTACGGAGCACGAGAAGCTGGGCTTCCGCGTCGCCGACAAGCGCCGCATGGACTACGACGAGATTCGCCAGGTGTTTGGCAAGCTCGAGTCGCGCTTCGGCTGGAAGCCAATCAAAGAGGGCGACCTCACAATCGGCGTCGCGCTGGACAAGCAGACCGTCACGCTCGAGCCCGGCGGCCAGTTCGAGCTCAGCGGCGCGCCCGTCGCGACGCTGCACCAGACGTGCGCCGAGGTCAACAGCCACCTGTACCAGGCCAAGTCCATCGCCGAGGAGCTGGGCATCGGCTTTCTGGGCTCGGGCTTCGACCCCAAGTGGGCCATCAACGAGATCCCCGTCATGCCCAAGGACCGCTACCGCCTCATGAAGGCCTACATGCCCACCGTCGGCACGCGCGGCCTGGACATGATGTTCCGCACCTGCACTATCCAGGTCAACCTGGACTACGAGTCCGAGGCCGACATGGTGGAGAAGTTCCGCATCGGCCTCGCGCTGCAGCCCGTCGCAGTCGCGCTGTTTGCCAACTCGCCGTTCTGCGAGGGCAAGCCGACCGGCGAGGTCAGCACGCGGGCGCGCGTCTGGATGGACGTGGACAAGGCGCGGACCGGCGGGCTGCCGTTTGTGTTTGAGAAGGGCATGTCGTTCGAGCGGTACGTGGACTACGCCATGGACGTGCCCATGTACTTTGTGTACCGCAAGGGCAAGTACATCGATGCGCTCGGCATGAGCTGGCGGGACTTTATGGAGGTGCGCACGCGCGGCGCGGGCGGCTTGGAGGGCGCGGGCAGCGGGGCTGGGTGTATGTATGGGTTGGGAGAGGGCGCGGGCGGGGGCAGCGGTGGCGGCGGTGGCGGCAGGTGGCGGCGCGGCTGGTCGGGGGCTGGCGGTCGGCCGTGCATGGATGGGGGGGCAAGGGCTCACAGTTTGGCCGCACTAGCCGCCAGGCAGGGCGCTGCAGCTGGCTGCGATGCTGTCATGCGAGCAGTGCCCTCGTAGCAGCTCCCGTGCGTCGGCTTTGCATCAAGCAGCGGCAGCTGCAGCGGCAGCAGCAGCAGCTGCAGCGGCAGCAGGCGCGGCAACCCGTGCCCTGCGCTGCCGCGCTCGCCAGCCCTGCCGCAGCGCCCAACCCCCTCAGCTGACCGGCCCACCTCCCTCCCCC